GAAGCTAAACCTTAAAATGCCTCTATTTTTAAACGTGCCTCTATTTTTACATGCATTGTAATGAAGAAAATATTCAAAGCTATCCACTATGAACCAATCAGACACATTATGTTGGTATGTATGGAGGTAAAACTGAATTAAAGTTCAAGCTTGTTCAATAAGGTAATAAATCAGAAACCAATTTAATTCTTCTGCAAACTGGAAACCAACTGGCCGCTTAGAATGTACACACTTTCAAAATTATCATTGATATTTGCACTTAGAGAACCCATTTTATATGCAAATAATTTGATTGTCTGCTTTGTATATGAACTCAGTGATTTGTCATTTCCATTAGCTTTTAAGTGTTGATGTGTTCATATGAGTTATAACATTGATCTCTAGAATTCTTCTTTCTGGAAGTAGCCAGTATTTGGAAAACCATTTGTACAAATATCCATTGCTCTATAAATCTAATTTTTGTGTTAAAAATTTAATTTGCAATGAAGATAAATGGTAATTTACATAATGAAAACATTTTTAGCAACTCAATCTGGAAAATAAAAGTGTGGCCACTCTTCCTATCCTTATAGCACAATAACATATTCAGCTTACTAGTTGATTTTCATGAATCTGCAAAAGTACTTCAGTCAACCATTATTTTTGTTATAAGCATATCTAAGTGGTATAAATTAGTTTCTAAATGAGAGACATGTACAACAAAATGACCTTGTTCTCTGGTCACTTGAGGGGATGACTGAATGCTGCACAGGATGTCATGAACAAAAACTAGTTGATGAAATTCAAATGAAAATACATTTCGAAAATATCTGTTGTGTACAATAAACTATACTTAAATTAAATAAGATGAATCATTTTGTATGTCTGTAACTAGGCGGCAAAATTATGGAAAAAAAAACCCTACAATAAACCAGGTAGACCAAAAAAATAATTAACATGCTAATGTACATGTTCTAATGAGTTAGAAACTGATCTTATGTTAGAGTACTGGAACAGAAATGTGTATGTTATGAAAGGTGTCAGATCTTCATTATGGAGACAACAGAAGTTATAATTACTTCATCAGATTGCATAGAAAGGGTGAATATCAACGTGAAGTTAACCTGTGCTCATTTATAGAGAAACTAAACTAAAACCTGTGCCCTAAAAAAAAGGCAGGCAGAGAGTATAGAACTAGTTAGTAGTATTGCCTGCAAGCTCAATATAGCAAACCTTTCTCCATTACTTGATGTAATAACACACTATTACATGAATTACATTAATACTGTATATATCTTCTTAATTAGCATGCTGCTTTTATAGACAGTATATATTATCCATCTGATGACTAGCAGAGATTTTGTTTACTTCTACCTTTTACCCATTATTGACTTACCATGGCTTATTCTGCATTATGTCTCTGTGTGAAGGGATTCATCTTGGTAGAGGTATGATTATGCTTCCTTATGTCAGAGTCTCTACCAAGGAGAAGTGAGCAGCAAGTAGTGATGACATGGCCAAATCTCTCTCCAAATAACCTGAGACTAACAGTCAGAGGCAACAATGCCTTCAATGTCACACTGCAGATATACAGCTATGGGGCTGTAGGCATTGGAGTGCCTAGGCACCTTCACACATCAGGAAGTGCATTGCTATTTCAGTATTTCTGGAAGGAAGATACAATTTCAAGAAGCTCCAAAGGCGCATTTAAAATTTCAATATACTTTCTATAACATAGCAAATCTTCAAAAAAATAGATTTCTTTATAACAAATATATAAATATCTCCTGTTTACTGGATTGGCTGCAAATTTAATGCAAAGGTTTGGTTATTTTCTTAAACTCAATGAACGACTGTCTTTTTCAATGCATCTGTGTAACATGATTGAATGTTTCAAGTGAACTCATGCTACCTTTACCTCAGCTGGAAAGTGAGCATGCCTACATATATATGTTGAAATATTTTTGTATCTGAAGGAAAATTGGCCGAGAAGAACATATTTAAAACAATTTTGCACTCCCCTAATCCACCCTCACCATTCCTATCTTTCCTATAATCCATACTACAAACCTAAGATCAGTCATCCACTTCTGCGACCAATGCTGACAGTTTTACGGTCAACATCTTGACCCTGCAGACCGCACCCCCGAATATATTTTAAAGGGTAATTCCACTTTCTCAGGTGAATTTGTGAAAATGGAATTACCCCATTCAATATGGCCTTTTCTTCCCCCCACCACTATACTTACCTTTGAGCGAATGCTACTCCCCCTGCACCGCTGCTGGTGTACTATCCATATCCCATACTGCCATGTAGTGCAGCCCTGTGATCTGTATTTTGAAATTTGCTCGCAAGTCAACTGACTGGCTGACCAATGAGAAGCACTTCAAATTGCTTAGCTGGGTCAGCAGCACTTCTCATTGGTCAGCACAATCAGGTGACCCAAATTCACCTGGGAAAGTGGAATTACACTATAACTTTCTATATGCAGTGACACAATGGGGTTGATTTACTAACCTTTTAAGCACACCACGAACGTGTATACACCTCTGTAGTGTGTTCCCTCCCAGCATGATCTATGGGAGGAATCGAAACACCTTTGTAGTGTGTACACACCCAGCAGGTGTGTTGTTCAAAGCCCTGCAATGAATTGCAAGGTAATGTGGTGTAAATTAGCTCTATGTTATGTTGCTTGTGTTGATGAATGCAGGAATGTAAATGCATGAGCTAACCATTTTTGTCTAAACTGTGAAGCAGCATTATATATGCATCATGTGCATGATTTTTCCATATATGGCATTAGTGGAAATATGCTTTCAGAGACTTTTTGGTTGATAAATACGTTTTGCTGTGTGAAAATCACACACACCTGGTGTGTGTGTGTGTTTAGGTTAGTAAATCAACCCCAATGAGTAAATCTCGTTGTTTTTGTACTGCAACTTTTAAGCTTAAAAAGCTTTTGCTAAAGAAAAATAATTGTGGTGAGCTTCCTAGAAGGTACATCTTCCACTGAGATGTATGTTTCTGTATATATACAGTATATACCATATATACACATGGAAAACGCATGGAAAATGCATTGCAACAAATAAAAACTGCAGAAGCATGAACAGGGCCTTAAATCTCTTCTTTTAACCACAAAGGGATTAATCTGTCTTTTTTTGGGTAAAGCACATAGTCTCTACACTTTATCTATTTTGCTGAAAAAGTAAGGATGAGGTCAGGAATGGAACCCTACATAGTTCTCTCATTTCAAATTTAATCTAAAGAGTAATAGTCCTAAGACTATATAAAAAGGCACAACACTTAAAACCTCCGACCAGCGTTTCTCAACCTTATTTCAGCGCCCTTTAAAAGTATGCAAAATCTCAGGGCACCTTAGTCTAAAATGTACAAAAACATAAATGTGCAAAAATCACGTGAGGTCCCTCCAAAATCCATACCAGACCCTTATCCGGGTATGGTTTTTAAAGGGGAACCCAAGAAAAACATTACAAACAAATGTGGGGTTAACATTCTGATTTACATCAGAGTCCCCTTTCACACCAGAGTTCCCCTTTACATCAAGAGCTAACCTTCTTATTAGAAGCCCCTCTCACACTAGGAGCCCCTCTTCACATCAGAGTCCCCCCTACACATCAGAAGAACTTTTCTCATTGGAGGCATGTTGATGTGAAAATTTTGAGGCACCCCTGTGGAAGCCAGAAAATACCCCAGGGTGCCACGGCACCCTGGTTAAAAAAGGCTGCCTTAGACCAATCAGAGTGAATCATTGCTCTCTAATGATAAGTGAATTGATTCGTTTTTTTTTGTTTTGTTTTTTTAAATCTAGCTGATTCACTTTGATGCAAAGATCATATATAAAAAAAATTGCACCATGTGGGAAGTGCATGTGTTGGAAAGGCAATCCTCCCCCTGATCCTTTTCGTTCCACTTTTGCAAAAGCAAATCAGCAGGGGTGAATAACCTTCTTAGTGTTCTAAAAGTTGCCATTTATTTTGTAAACTCAGTGTACTAAACATTCTACTTATTTTGAAAAAAATAAAAGTGGGTTTTTTTTTCACAAATGTGTTGCTATGGTGTCCATTATAGTTAGTTGAAAAGTTGATTAATCTACTTTATCTTTCTACTTCTGACAATAAAAACACTACTCTAAAAGAAAACAATCAAAGATGTGACCTTTCACATGCTTACAGTTAAAAATCATCTGATATTTAGTGGCTATTTGATAACCTTTAACTTTTTTAGTTTCATAGCAGTCAATAATAAAGCATTTCAGATGTAATTCAGCGAAGGTACATTCCAATGAATTTCAATTCAATGCAATGTAGCTAAGCCTAAGAAGCAAAAGAACTTCTTTTGAGTAAGTAAAACATATTGCATGTAAATAAATTAGAAATAATGTTTCCTAATCAGGAAAAAAGGCAGCCTTTTGTAGTCTTGTAGTCTACTCTAAGCTATGTAAATATATATAACTTTAAATGCACATACTATATGAATATACTATAGTATTTTTTAGGTATGCTAATTTGCTTGTTCAAGAGTTATGACCAGGGCCCCATAGAATTGTTTTAATGGGGCTCCTTCAAGTGATAGTGGTCGGCCCCTTTAGGGCTCCTTTTTATGCCACTTAACACTGTTGACCATTGTAATTAACAATTATAAGCTTTATCCACCATGCTGAATTGATCACTTCACGACTCACAGTGCAGGCAGGGCTACTCAGAGTCGTGTTTACCTCCACAAGAGGCACTGCTGTACTAGTCTTTCTGAATTCTGGAGCCAGCAATCATAGTAATATTTCACCAAGAGGTAGAAAATGATGCATTTTGTAAAGGAGAATATTTTTGTACAATCCCTTTACCAGACATAGACTGGTCCCACAACATCCACCTGGACTGCTATGGCTGTAGTTATACCACAATAATGACATCTGATCAACAAGGGAATATCATTATGCATGCAAAATCTTTACAAACTTTTTTAGTTTAAATAACAATAAAATACTACTTAAAATTACCTTTTTCTTTGAAGCTTCAGATTTCTTTGACATGTTTCTTAACTTCTTGTGCAAATGGTTAAGAATCTGTAAGAAAAATAACAAAATATGTTTGAATTATAGCGGATAACAATTGTAATGCCAACTCACATCAGTCATGTTCTGCTACATCAAAAGTTTGCTTGGTTTGTGTGCTTGGAATTTTTGCTACAACTCAGTTTGCTGGACTCCATGAATAATAGATACTTACACACATTGTTTGATTACCAGAGCTGAAAGACGGGATACTTAGTCACCCACATATGTGAATACATTGTTTAAGTTCGCACCAGCCAACCATCCCTTAAGGGATCAATGAGAACTTCCACAAAGTCAACTGCTTAGCATTAGAAATCTATCAAATTCAGTTTGCTAACTTTTCATTTAGTCTTTTGGGTTGCAATAGAGATCCTGCCCTGCAGGTTTCCTTAATAGCCACAATTAACTATTAGTTCTAGACTAAGTAAAAGCTTGTTTTGCAAAAGTGTTCCAGTCCAAAATATGTTGGTACAAAATCCTTTTTACTCAATACTCACATGTGTATTAATGTTTAGTATAGAATAAAAGATGTAGATTTCTAAGCTTTCAAATTATGTTGTTTTCCTTGTTCTATAGTGACAATTGTCTGCTGCAATGAGAAGAATAAAGGGCTACTGTAATTATTAATACTCAACTAAGTAAACAAGTAGACATATTAAAGCCGTGCTACATTTTACTTTCAATGCATTCAAATTACTGTAATCACAATAATAATAAATGTCTAAACTGTTTACTGTTATTTATAGCACCTGAACAAACACTTTTATTACTTGGTGCTGATTTTAAATGTAAAAATGTGTAAATTAAAATATAATTTTTTTTTCTTCTTAAGCTGTTATCTAGACACTCTTTATTAGAACACCTTTACCATAATATTCAACAGTACTAGTCACTTGTGTTAGAATACTTAGAGGGTTATTCACAAAGCAGCCGAGTGAATAACCCACCCGAAGTGAAGTAAGCCGAACGCTGTTTGGCTGTTCACTTCAGGTTTGCACAGCTGATTTCAGCCGTACATCAGCTGAAATTAGCCATACATTGGCTTGCTTCGGTTCAGTCGAACATGCTCAGCATGTTTGATTGAGCAGAAGTGAAGAACACGTTTGACTCAGCCGATCCAACATCCGGATCGACTCTGCCGAACTCACGGCAGGCTACTCCCTGCCATTCGGCCTATTCTCATAGGAGCCGAACGGCAGTGAGTAAATAGCTGAATGCCGCCGATCGGTACCTCCGTGGTACCGAGCAGAATAGAAAATCAGTGAAAAAAGTAGAACAAAAAAGTAGAATTTTTTTTACAAATGTAAATAAATGATAAATTAAAAAAATAAGATTTGTTTAAAAAAAGAAAAACATTATTTGAAAAACAATTGGGCGGAGCTAGCACTGACAGTTAGCTCCGCCCAACTGTTTCCTATTGGCCCGGACCTGCTATAGTCTTCCCGACCAGGTCCCGGCCAATGAATAACAACTGGGCAGAGCCGGGTGTGATGTCACGGCCAGTTCCGCCCAGTTGTCATTTTTTAATAACAGTTCAGCGTCCCCAGGAACCTGGGGACGCTGATCTGTCATTGTGACTGGGTGGAGCCAGCCGTGAGATCGCAGCTGGCTCCGCCCAGCTGTCAGTTGTGAGGCTTTCAAGGCCATTCACCCCGCTTTGGCTGTCACTTCGGCTCAGTCGAGCCGAAGCACATCCCTTCGGCTCAGCCAGCTTCGCGAGCTGTACGGGCTATAGTGATTAGCCCGTACAGCAGCCCTTCGATTCGACTGAAGAGAAGGGCTCCGGCGGCCAAAGCTAGCCGAAGGATCAGCCAGAGCTACGGCTGATCCTTCGGCTAGCTTTGTAAGCCCAATTCCACTTTGGACATAAAACAAAAAGTTGGGTAAAATCAAAAAGGAGCTTTGGATGCTACACTCACCCTCAGAATCATCTGGTTACCAATCTAGCAATGTTTGTCTTCCAGGCTTAATGATGCCTAGCATCATTTAACTCACTTCATGTAAGGCCTGGGGGGTCAAGGATCCTGCTGCGAAGAGTGACCGCTGGAGGATAAAAAGGCTGAAGAGGTTCTGTGATGTCACCAAACCCAAGATCACTGGAACAATGATAAGTATGTCATCTTTTTTACAATACTGGGCTGGCTCCAAGGGGGCAGCCAATCAAGAGTATAGTTTTTTGTGTGAAAATCTATGCATTTATCAATGTTTTGGTTCTGCAAAACATTGAACATTATCTTTCTTTGCAGTTTTCATAAAATGTATACTCATTGTTTTCAGTGGGCCAGCGTCTAAGAGTAGGGGAAAACTGAAAAATGCATGCAAACCAGAAGAAGCAGGAACAAACCCTAAAAAAAAGAAACTAAACAAATGCATAAAAAAAACAGTTCTAATCATTGAACTGTGTAGCCATGCTATAAATACATGCAAATATATTGTAGTAAAATGCTTTGTTCCAGTTGAGATCTGCACAGATCCTGAATATATAAATAATTTCCCCTTGCAAAACTGACAACTAACCAATCTTGCATGGAGAGGAAGGAAGTTATGTAAACTGGAATCCTTAGCATCCCCACTAGTTTATATAGCATAAAGAGAATAGGTATAGTCCATTCACATGGTACCTGAAACAGGGGAAGCTATGCTGCATATACTTAGGAATTATTCATGTTCAAATGCACTTGTTCTGTAATGTTGAAGACATTTCACAGTTTCTACAAACTACCTTTTCAGTTCTAAAAAGTGTCAGGAACATACCCAGCATTTATATCCACCCAGTCAACTTATTAAAATCATCATGGAATGTGTCAAGGCAGATGTTGATTATCCAAAAACAGGATGGGAGGTGTGAAAGTTGCGGAACTACCCTGCTCCAAATACATAATTACGTTATATGCCTAGGTTTATGAAGTCTGCCCCACAGGCCAATGGATATCATCAACTATAAACATTTCTTGATGGCTTTTTGAATATGCTATGTAAGTATTGTATTATGATGAGATTATTATACAAGTGAGATGGTTGTGGGGGCATTGTGCAGTTGAAAGAGGAACACACTGGGAAATTAACAATGTTTTAACTATGATTGTAACATAGATTTTATTTGTATTTATAATAAAATATGTTGTTAATGCATAGAAATAGTATGGGCTTCTTGAAATCCCAAATATAAAGAACTTATGTGTGAATAATGAGTAATTTATGGGGATGAGGTACGTGTATCATCTGCCTGAGAAAACCCTGAAGGCACTGTTGGTTTAAGTCTGTATGGTATATGTGCTAATCCTTTGATTTACATTGCTAAAGGTGTGAATTGTTGTCAACACCCTAAAGACTCATCTCTTCAGGGAAGCCTATCCTACCTCGACCTAACCACTGAACCTTCACATTCTCAAATAATTCATCCCCACACAGCTCCCTCCTTATGTATCATTTCCCCCTCCTCTTTCAGATTGTAAGCCCTCAGGGACAGGGCCCTCCTTACCATCTTGTATTGTATTGTAACTGTAATGTCTTCCTTATATTGTAAAGCGCTGCACAAACTGTTAGCGCTATATAAATCCTGTATAATAATAATAATAACACACCACTCCTCATTAGGGATAGTTGCATATACTTTGTATATCTCAGACCTGCCAGCAGTGATTGTGAAGGAGGAGGGGGTAATAAGCACCAACTTCAAACCTTCAAATCACTAATGTGCCCTTCTCCCCTCCCCCTCTACTAATCCCTCTGCTACAAATTTAGCATCATTTTTTAAAGAGAAGATTGACAACATCAGACATGAAATCGCCTCCCTTACTCCCTCCCTTACCTAACCTACCCTCTCTCAAGCCTCTTCCTCTTCTCCCAAGTTTCCGAAGTAGAGGTTTCTGCTCTTCTCCTCTGCTCCTCCGCTACCACCTGTCCCCTTGACCCCATTCCATCACACCTTATCCTTCCTCTCTCTTCTGTGATTGACCCTTCTCTCACCAACACCTTCGATCTTTTCTCTTACCTCCAGCGCCTTTCCCTCTTGCTTCAAACACGACCGTAGTAAAAAAAAACACAATGTCTTGACCCTAAAGCTTTATCTAGCTATCGCCCCATCTCTCTTCTTCCCTTTGCCTCCAAACTCCTTGAACTATTGGTGTACACCCGACTCAGAGACTACCCAAACTCCAACTCCTACTTGACTCTCTACAATCTGGTTTTTGCCCCCAACACTCCACAGAGACTGCCTTGACCAAAGTGACTATCAACCAGTGACAGCCAAATTTAAAGGACATTATTCACTTCTTATCCTTTTTGACCTTTCTGCTGCTTTTGATACCGTTGACCACCCGCTGCTCCTACTCATCCTCTGCAACCTTGGCATCAATGACACTGCTCTCGCCTGGTTCTCTTCCTATCCATCTGACCATTCCTTCAGCGTTTCCTCTGAAGTGTCTCTCTGTTGGAGTCCCACAAGGTTCAGTACTGGGACCTCTTCTATTCTCACTCTACACTGCCTACAATGCGCTCTAGTGCACATATTTGGCACATTCACACAACACCTAAGTGTGAATGGGGACTTACTGTTTTTGGGACTTGCAACATGATAAAAATGTGCAATGCACTTGTGGTGCCATTACTTTTAAATAGTAACCCAAAGGTGGTCGAGAAAATGTTCGTCTTTGCCCACGCATTGATGTATAAAGAACAAGCAAAAATGTACAGTAAAAAAAAAAGCATGAAGTTCACAGCTGAAATTGCAGCGTGAGCATCTTTGCTGCATTTGTCGCATGTGCAGCAGCCCATTGAAATTAATCGGCTGATGCATGGCAAACACGGACAAACGCACACAAGTGCATTGTGCAATCACATGCACCAAGACTGTGCACCAAGTGTTTTTGCACTGAGCTTGGATTTTCTTTAAATCCTCCATTAAAAAACATTTGCAGTAGGGATAACCTCAGGTTTGGACTGAACCCACTCCAAACCTGAGCTCAGAAAAATTAAAGCTACCTGGTTCTCCCATCTCTTCAGCTGTG